TGTGACTTTCTCATCACCACCTGCATTTGGTGGTTACTAGTGTATTACAAAGCTAAACAGATTTCAGTACTTCAATAGGTTGGTATATTAACATTATATCAGTTAATGAAATTACCGGTTTTAACTGTAAATTTAAGTTAAAACCGTAAAAACCTAAAACGTTGCTACCATATTTTTTACGGTAAAATTCCGGCAACCACAGCTGCCGGTTTTTTACCGTAAATTTTACGGAATTTATTTTACAGTGATATATAATTCAATTGTCATGATAGCAGGAGCAGTGAATGGTAGTTGGATGATATCAGCTGCACAATGATATTCTGATCTAACATATTGTACATGTAGGCAGACGCTCTCTGTTCTGTGTGCCGTGAGGCAGGACAAGCTCATTATTAGTGTAAATAGCATACGTTGTGCATAAGAGCTTCTATCTGCAACACTTGAGTGCCTGAACATCTCTAATCGCTGTGCAGTACTGCTAGATTACTTACAAATTGTAGTCTGTTACTGATTTAGTAATTAGTAGCGTTAGTAACGTAATCCATTACATTACACATTTTAGGTAAAATAATCAGACTACTTTTTGTAGTATATTACTTAGAGTAAATATATTAGGTGAAAGAGGTTCGGCTGACAAAAAAATAAGAAGGGAATCCCTGTATTACATGTAAATACGAAATAACGTGAATTTGTTCGTTTTAATGCGTTTGTGTGAATGTCAACAAAACTGGAAGACTTTCTGAGTGTATGTGGTAGGCTATTATGGAAAGGAAAACGAAAAAGATAAAAAAAAGAATAATTAGGGAGAACCAATAAATTCTGAATAATTTATTGCTATTGTGTGAATAATTTGTAATCAATAAAAAAGTAACTGTAGTATGATTACAAGTATTTTAAAATGTCAAGTACTTAATTTTTGGCATTTGATTACGTAATTCAGATAATACCCCGCACTGTCATTGTAGTCTCAGTTTATGCGTAGAGTATGTTACTTTTTTTTTGTCTTCTCTTGTTTTTATTTGCAGTTATGGGTTATATAGGTTATTTGGTTATGTATGCATTTGGGCTAATATGGGTTATATATCCAGGTAGAGTTATATATCCATTATATATTATATATTGGTTATAAATCCATTGGGGTTATAGATCATTGGTTATATACTGATTTGAGCTCATTGTTCTTTGCTTAAGTATGTTTAAACTAATGTGTTATGATGCATGGTTATATATTCAGTTTCAGTTGGGGTTATGTGTTATTGGTTACATACTGTATTTATTTGTACTTTTAATTTATGTGTTGTGAATTATATATTGAATTGGGCTCTTGGTTATTGGTTATACACTGAGTTTGCTTGTATGCTATTGATTAAATATTTACATGAGCCTGTGGCTAATTGGTTATATTCATTTTCACTTTTGGGTTATTGGTTATATACTGTGTGCAGTTGAGGTTGTGTGTAATTATGTTTATGGGGTATATAGTAAGTTGGGTTTATGGTTAATTGGTCATATATTCAGTTGGGTCTATGAGTTCTTGGTTACAATATAAATTCATTTGGGCTTATGTGTTATGGGTATGCTTATGTGCATGGTTATATATTTGTTTGAAGTTTTAACTTAAAGGTTATATATGCAGTTGGTATTTTGGGTGATATATTGAGTTTGGGTTATATGCTATTAATTACATATTTGAGCCTATGGCTAATTGGTTATACATTCATATGTGTTAATTGTTACATACTGTTTACAGTTTATGGGGTGAATATTAAGATGAGTTTATGGGTTATTTGTTGGTGTTATGTGTTATGGGTTGCATATTCAGTTAAGCTTATAAAGTATGTGTTCACTAAGGGCTACATGTGATTGTTTATATATTCAGTTGGGTTATATTTTGATATATTTGTTATATATTGATATATATTTTAATTGGTAACTTCACCTAATCATGTTATGAATCACTTTGGTTGTGTCACTTTGGTACCAGCAAGTGGAATGATAAATAAAGGATTATGTTTTCATAAGATTTGTCATTAACATCAGTGTGAGAGAATGGTTGACATATGAGAAGTTTAGAGCGAGTCCTATGTTTTTTTCCATGGCAGTCTTAGACATTTTTTGGGGGGGACATTTTTCTCGCAATGTTACATTGATACTTCAGGCACTGCTATTTGTGTTTATTTATTTATTTGTAATTGATTTATTGCATTCATTGTATTCATTTTTGTTCATTCAGATCATTTCCTACAGTTGAATTAATAAAGAACTCATCTAAATAAGACTAATCTCTGAAAACGAAATTTCTCAGTCAGTGCTTCTGTGGCACACAGTACAAAGTGATCCCTGCAAGAGAGATTGAAAGTGATAGCACAGATTCACTCTCTCTCCTGAGACGCTCAGTCTCTCTCATGCGCTTTTCAATCACGAATCAATTATGATACTGTGATGCTTTGCAATGCATTGAATTACAATGATGTATATTGCATCTTGGGATACTTGGCAATACCCTGCCTCAATGTTCAAAATGAATGAAATGAATGAGTTCAACACCTATTAACAGATGTAGAATTAAAACCACTGAGATGTTTCCACCAACATATTAGACATGAAGCTGAGTACATTAAAGGAAGGGTTCACAGGAACATTTGTTGAAAACGTACTCACTCTCAGGCCATCCAAGACATAGATCAGTTTGTTTCTTATCTGAACAGATTTGGAGAAATGTAGCATTGCATCACTTGCTCACCAATTCTGCAGTGAATGGGTGCCGTCAGAATGAGAGTCCAAACTGCTGAGAAAAACATCACAATAATCCACAAGTAATCCACACCACTCCAGTCCATCAATCAACTGAGAAATGAAAAGATGTGTGTTTGTAAGAAACAAATCCATCATAAAATTTAAATCATTGCTGCCAAAATATGAGTCCAGAATAACAATTCCTCTAGTGGAAAAAGTCCATCCCCTGCTTTCCCATCACATCAAAATCCACCCACATATTAGTTTAGAACTGTTTTGGCTTGTAAACTGTGTTTGATCTGTGCATATTTCTCTCCTGATTCAGACAACCTTTTTAAATGGGTCTTTATTAATTCTTCTTTCTTTCTTTCTTTCTTTCTTTCTACTACAGAAACCTCTTGGACAGAGACACCTTCTCAAAATCTGATCCAAGTAAGCTTGTTGGTACACATATCACATTATAAGCTTATTAATTTATAAGCTTATTCATTTAGTCTATCACACATTGAAATATTGGTACAAAGATCGGTTTATCTGACAACACTAGCACATCTGAAATCACATTACTTAAAGCGGTCTGGGCTGAAATTGTGATGAAGTTACTGCTCATCAACAGAGCACTGATCACCATAGGGAGCATCATTAGTGTGCAGTATCTTAACTGCCTGCCTTAATTATGATGTTGTTTTATAAGAAAGCTTGATTGTGCATGTAACCCTGCTGTATGTACATATTCTTTCATATGCAGGAGAGTATATTATTTGCATTTGTATTTCTGTGATTTGTTTGCATCTTCACGTGTTGTGTGTTTACGTGGGTTGTGATTGCATTGGGTAATCCAGATGTTGTGGTCGGCTAACATTCACAGCTTTAATGAACATACAGATACGTTTGACTGCAGGCCCTGCATTGTTCATTCTGCTGTATGGCTGATTACACTGACTGTTTCTGACACACACACACACACACACACACACACACACACACACACACACACATTATATGCTCTAAAAGATTTTGTTTTGATTATTTCTCTGCTAAGATTCTAAATTCTATTTTCATCTTAAAATTGGGCTAGTTATATTGTTTGGAAAGTACGTAACTTTTCTGCCTTCTTTTAAAGGGGTCATATTCTACACTTTTTAAATATTACATTTTCCCCTCTGAAGTCAACTTACAAGGAAAGTTTTTTTATACTACCAACATATTTAATTTAGTAATTTAGTTTTTTCATAATGATCATTTTCCATCCTTTCTCTAACCCTTTGAATTAAACAAACATTTTGTTTCTGTGCCTTTAAGAATTCTATATGCAAATGAGCTCTGTGCTGATTGGCTAAGCTCTGTGTACTGGTGTAGTTCACTATCATCAACACAGGTAAGGTTTCTAAATACTGAGTAGGCATTGCTATGTAAAAGTAAAAGTCTTGTGCTAATTTGCTTATGGTTGCGATGTTATAATCATGCTGAATTCCGAACATCCATTCTGAAGTATTTCAAAGTTATTTTTAAAGATTCTAGGTGGACTGAGGTGTCTGAAGTTTTACTCGTTCTACTCAGGGCTGAATTGTGCGTTTTTATGACAACACTATCAACACCAAAGCATTCACATGCTTGCAGAACTCGTAATTACAACTTGTAGCTCAGAATGTTCTGAGAGCTACGACTCAGACCACCTGACCGCCGTCAGATTCATTTAGGCCAGGGGTTCTCAACTCTGGTCCTCGAGGTCCACTTTCCTGCAGAGTTTAGCTCCAACCTTGATCAAGCTCACCTGCCTGTAACTTTATAGTGATCCTGAAGACCTTGATGAGCTTGCTCAGGTGTGTTTGATTAGGGTTGGAGCTAAAATCTGCAGGAAACTGGACTTCAAGGGCCAGAGTTGAGAACCCCAGATTTAAGCGCTACTTAGGCGCTACCTCCGAGTCCGAGGACTTGGACAGCTCCGAGTAGAATGTCACGTGTTGTCATCTTGGAATTACGGTAATTATGACGTGGTGTGAATGCAGCTCAAGTGACCCAATTAAAATTTTTTCCTCCCATGTGGCACCAGTGGTGTATAAAGTACATGAAAGCCATACTCAAGTAAAAGTACATCTTACCAGAAAATGACTTTGGTAGAAGTTGAAGTCGCCGTTTAGAATATTACTTGAGTAAAAGTCTTAAAGTATGTGATATTTATTGTACTTAAGTACGAAAAGTATTTTTTAATCTTAAACGTACTTAAGTATTGAAAGTAAAAGTACAAGTAAATGCAAAATGGAAAAGAAGCAAATAAATATATATATAAAAAATGTCATACAGCTTGAGTAGCAAGATTGTGTTCAGTTTTAACTTATTCTTCCATTTTGTATTTTTGGGTAAGAATAAGAAGCACTTCATCCGGTACTTATAGTGTCTTTCATTCCAACATAAGAAACCATTTCTGGAATCTGCATCTGAAATAGCATTTAGATGTGTTTACACAGTTTATGTATCTCATAGGTGACGGATGCATATAACCTGCAGTTACAAATGCATAAATAATGTTTTGTTTTTAACATAATACATTGAATACTGATATTTGAAATTATTTTAAAACATGAAAAAAATAGTTGAAATGTGAAATTAAAACCGCCAGTAGGTGGCAGCAAGTGACTCGTTCAACGTCCAGAAAAGTACCAAGATGATGGACAAAGTAGTCCGTGTGACATCAGTGGTTCAACTGTAAAGTTACGAAGCTACGAGAATACTTTTTTGCGCAAAGAAAACAAAAATAATGACTTTATTCCACATTTTAGATTCTACTGCGTGTTTACGACAGTATCATGACGCGAGCATGTGGCGGCGCCGGCACTGACCCAGATCCGGCGTGATGATCTGGGTCAGCGCCGCCACACGCTTGCGTCATGATACTGTCGTGAACGCGGGGGACATCGGATGCCCATTGTCCTAGTTGGTATGATACTTTAGGGTCTTCATGAAATGTCTGTAACATACTTTGATTAAAATTCCTCAATGGTCTTGTAAAACAACACCCTTTTTACCTTGTCAAAATCTGTTCACAGCGACCCGTTTCAGTGCATGTCTCTTTAAATGATAATGAACTACTGCTTACCCCACCCCTCTCTTCTGTGGGGGGTCTCTTCCCTATCTCCTTATATGGCTCAGAGCTGGTCTTCTTCAAATAGCTAGCTATCTATGAAACTGGCTACAAATTGAAACATCTTGCTGGATGACAGTTTCAGACTCAGACAGACAAACTGACTGCGTGTTTTCTTTTCAGCTTTTCTGAGCTGGCAGACGCCAGAAACCTAG